CCCCCAACAAATTTACCTGTCTCTACATCACTTTTCCGTTCTTTTGGGTTGGGGCTAACTTGTCTCATACCCACAACCGTGGCGTCGGTAGCCGAATGGTTAGGCTACCAGACTAGTAAACGTGAGATTGCGGGTTCGGGGGTTCGAGCCTCAGCTCGGTCCGTCGTTGTTTCTTTGGAAAAGTCACTTTACTCGAATTTCCTGTTTAGTTCGGAGATGGGCGTTAAGCTAGGAGTCAGGCCTCTTAAATAACCTTATATTGTTATTAAGGGCTTGTACCCCCCCCCCCCCCGGGGGGCGGTGCTACTGACTGAAGTGTCTTAAGGCCATTCCCGAAGGGGGACATTAACCATGTTCTTATGCACAGTAGAATTGTAATATTGTAAATGGGCTAATTCATCAATGTCATGCTCATAACTGTGCCTCAACTGCAACAGGGAACCGCTGCTTTTTTTCCCCTAATCTTTACTATTGTCATTTTTTCCTCTACTTCTTTTGTATGTTTGTCACACTCTGGTGACCCTCTATTTCCGGGGTGCCTTGATAGTCGAAGCAGACTTCGTGCTATTTTAGCTAGAGATGTGAACAGGGTGAGTCTGATCCCCTGTAAGGACTTCTCTGTTGACATACACCCCTTGGCGCTCATATGACCTTTTACAGTTGCAAGCGCAGTAAAACCACTACCAAAACAAACGAACATGTACCATTTTCATTTAAATCGCACACCATGCAACTTTTCCTCTCGGTGAGCAATTGGCGATGAGTCAAGAAGTAATATTCTGTTTATAATCTAAACACGACCAGTCTCTTTGATCCCAAGTTTAACACAGTTGTTTGTGTGGAGCCACTAGTTCCTCTGAGTGTCGAACCCACGACCTGTACACTGCAAGTCGGTCTACCTTTTTAAGTATGCCAAATTTAATGGAGTTGGAAAAATGCTCGTTGAGTTTATTTTATACACGTTTACTTGACCAAGCTTCTATAGTTTGTAGAGACTGTCCTGATTCCTTGACGGAAACAAACACTTAATGTCGAGATTGCAAGTCCTGTAGTATTTTCACAAGGACAAGGGCAAGTAGAGACAAACAAACGGAAACGGTGGATGGTTAGCGAGCGTTCTGGTGTGGTTTGCCCCTTCTTTCCTTTCAAACGTACGTTGGCGATTGCTCTAGTGTGGTTTGCTCCTTCTGTCCTGTCCAACATCTATCGTCCTGTTCTTGCCTTCTTTTTTATTGCGTTTGTTACTCTCTTGTATCTCCTCGATAATCTTCGGCACTTACATGACATGACCTTTATGTGTTACAAGTGCCGCTAAACTTTTATTTTAATTAAACTTTTTTAAAAAATCCCATATATCTTTTTCTTTAAAAAAAAAATTGCACGTTACCCCATAGCAATACCTTTAATCGTCGGCACTTATTGGGACTTATTATGTTGCGAGTGCCGTAAAGCTCTTACAATAACTATACAGACCTCATGACTCTGTTATAGTTAACATCCTTGACCAATCTGTGCCGCATTCCGTCGTCCATTGTTCTCACCGCGCGGTCTCGCGTCTGCAGCTTTGTGTCACCGAGAGTGGCCGCCATCTTGTCTAAGTGGCTCTTGTCCCACTTGTCCGGGGTACTCTGGAAGTCCTTAACCAGCAGGCTGTCCCGCACTCGGTGCGAAAACGGTCCATTGACACTGTTGTCTTATTTGCTCGTGTTGAGTACTTTGACTCTGACCGAGCTAGGGTGTGCAAGTGAGGAAGTTGCTCATCGCTCGTGTCCAGGCCGAGGACATCCCCCCCCCCCTTTGCGTTGGGCGTGAGTGCGTGCGGGTTACTAAATAGTTTGCCCCAAGCAGGAACTGACATAATACATTTTATTGTTGCACTGTTTTAATATTTTTGGTTGTTGTTAAAATGACCATTTCATAGTAGTGACAGTGGGTGGTTGTTGGTATAAGTAACTCCTTTTCAGGAATGAGGGGTGTGTGAGGGGGGAGGGGGGGGGGGTAGTAGAGCTTGTTGTTAGTACGTAATTTTATGTATACTTCATAGTTCACAGCGAGTATTTTTTATTTATTTATTCTGTCATTTATTTATTTACTCATACATTTGTTTATTTATTATGCTTTTTTCCCCGGGAGGGGGCAGTTTGTGATTTTTGGTATGTTTACTCTCCCACGATTTGCTGATATTTTGTTCATCGTGCCATTTGTATAGTCTGGACTCCAACTTTCTTTGTCTCAGCAAGGACAAAAAGGACCTCCCCCCTCCCTCCCCCCCCTCTCTCT